CTCACCCTGCCCCTGACCCCAGCTTCCTTCCCTCCAGCGCATCACGTGCAGGCTGGCTGTCAGCTGTGCCTGCCCCTGAACCAGCCTCGTTTCTTTGCTTTTCCAGCTCTGTTCCCGTCTGCCCGCCGAGGCCAGCGTCGGCTTCCTGTTGGTTCAGAATGCAGGGGGGAGGAGGAGAGCTCGCCCGCGCGCTGTAGCTAGCCCCCGACCTCTCCTGACCCCCGCGTTCCCGTGTGCAACGCGTGGGGTTTGTGAACCACAGTATCTATCTTGGCAATCGCCTCTGACTCAGATGAGACAGCATCTCTGCACACGGCTCTGGCATCAAACATGATTTGCAGATACTGGGAGGGCAAGGACAGGTCACGGTGGGGCAGGCACGCTCCGGTCCCCAGGGCGGCGAGGAAGCCCTCCCGAGGAGATCGCCCCTTCTGCACAGCCTCTCTAGCTTTCCGGAACATGGCAGGCTTTCTGTCTTTTTTGTTGTGATGTAGATTACATGCAGTAATGCGCACTGATTTTTGAGAGAGGGGAACTTGGGTAAATTGCAAAAATGTCTTTGTACCTGCTGTGTGGTATTTTCTGTGACTGCTCTAACAGATTGCCACAAACGGAGGAGCGCCTTCAAGTTACCAAATTTATTATCTTACAAGTTCGACACGAATCTTATTAGACTTAAAAGGAAGGTAGCAGTCGGGCTGCCTTCCGGACTGGAGGGTCCAGGACAGAGACTGCTCCCTTGCTGTTTGTAACTTCTAGAAAGCACCCATATCCTTGACTAGTGGCCCCTTCCTCTATCTAACTCCACAATTGGAACCAGAATCCTCCTCACATTGCTTCTCTCCTGCCTCCCTCTGGGATTTTTAAGAACCCTTGTAGTGATGCTGAGCCTCTCTGAGAAATCTAGGATTACCCGCTTACTTCAAGATAAACTGATGAGCAAATTTTATTCCATGTGCTGCATTAATTCCACACTGCTGGGCACGGTGACACAGGGGTTAGCATGGGAGGGGTCTTTGAGGGGGCCGTTATTCTGTCTCTCATAACTGTGTCATACTTTCTAGAAGCCTCTTTCACTCCAGAACACACTCTCATTCTCCTTGGTACCTTCCCCTCACACCCCTAGGGACAGTTGCCATTTTTATTCTGGATTTGTCACCTAGCGTTGCGCACTGTAAACCAGAGTTATGCAGAAGGGTTTCTTAACACCTGCCAAGTGGGGAGAAATTTGAAGAGGTAGAATCTTTCTGTGACGGTTGGCTTCTGGCTCGCCTGGGCCAGGAGCTGAAATAAATTCAGGCAGTAAAGGGGGTGCGTGGCCGGGAGGCTGTGTACCTGCTGTGATCTTAGGTCCCTCTCTGGGCGTCATTCCTGAGGACAGTGCTCCCATTCCCCTCCCAAGCCCTAGGCTGGGGGGTGATGCTGGACAGGTTTAGTGAACAGATCCAGAAGCACCTCATTAGCCATCAGTAACTGTTAGTGAGCGTGGAGGTTGCTCTGGTTAGCCTATTGGCCTCTGTGACCACCCATGCTGTGTTATTATGATGCCCATTTTAACAGATGAAGAGAGGAAGGCATCCAGGACATTGCGTTTACCGGTGATATTTGGTAGTTAAGTGGCAGAACTCCGCGATGCCAGGAACGGCATTCTTAGGCTATCCCAGCCCCTTTTGAGCCGCCATCATTGTGGCCTTTCTGTGTTCTGCTGGTGCAGGGACAGTAGAGAAGCAGCTGGTGTGGGCAGCAGGCCCACGCCTCGTGCTTCATGGACACTGTGGTAGCCTTTCACCTGAGCTCAGAGAGGCTGGGCAGTTGGCACGCTTTCTGGAGCCAGTGAGGGTCTTTAATACAGACTCCAGTGGTGGTAGGACAGCCTGCCCTTGTGACCCCTCTGTTAACAGCCATTCCTTCCCTTGCATACCAATGCTTTTCCTCCTGTCGCCTGACTGAAACACCTGTCACCTGACCACACCCAGGGACTTTGGCTGGAGTCTATACCTCTGAAGCTCCCCGCACCCCCCCCCCACTCCAATCACTACACTATTTTCATCTTGGTTTTCCAAGCTCCTTCATGTTTTGTGAACTCCTGTGCATTTTATCGAGCTTGTTCTGTTGGTAAATCAGCTTTCCTGCCCCTGAGAGGCTGACTGAGGGACTGGTATAAATAATGCAGAAGAAAGAAACCAGCCATCGCAGACACATACAGAAGAGCCGAATCTAGGAGTCCTTTGCCCTTCTCGTCTTTCAGAAGCACCTCCCTTACCCAGCAGGTGTCAGCTGACCTGGGCTGGCTCACTCCACTGGCAGCTGCACCGAGTGCTGTGGTTTGAAGCAGGCGGTCTCTATGTGTGCTGCATCAAGCTGTTACGGATGACTGATGGCAGACTTCACTGCTATATATTTTGCCTGGGTTGAGGTGCTTTTGTTTTCCAACATGACCTGATTGTCTCCCAAATACCTGTAAAGCTGTGGCAGGTGCGGGGAGCTATCCAGAGGGGGGGACTGCCTTCTGGGGGACCCCCCCACCCTGGGCATTAGGAAGCCATCTCCATCTTCCCTGCTGTGGGAAGATGCAGTAGGGCTGGTCACAGTACCTGATGCACAGTCCAGTCCCCGTGATTGAGCAGCTGCCATTGGTTCATGCATGCATTGGCTCTAAAACAGGTATAGACCTTGGTTTCTGATATGTGAGCAGTTTTCCAGAATTTTCTTATTTGGTGGTATTTGTCCTGTCCACTTCATGTAAGAAGTATCTGATTGGGGGATCCATCCTCAAGGAGCCAGCAAATACTGGGTGCTGTGATCCTTCTTTGGCCAAATGACTATAGTGGGTCCGCTGTGTGCTGTGTACCTCTCTTGGAGGTACTCTGGTGGTGGTTGCTAACCAGAGATGAGGCACCTGCCTTCACAGGCGCGGCTCACACTGTGCGCTAGCACGTGAACCTCAGCACCACAGTGTGCTGTCCCCGTGCTTTGTGGCTATGGGGTACAGAAGAGGACAGGTGAGGGTTAAGCCAGTGGCCTGGGGCTACGGTAAAGATGGCCTTGCTGGGGAGAGAAGAAGAGGCATGGGGTTTCAGAGATGTTGCTTTCCAAGGTGACGCATGGTAGTCAGGCAGAGTTGGAGCCCAGGTAGAGAGGAAGGGATGAGGCAGAGGGTCTAGCCATGGGCAGAGGCAGCAGCAACAAGAGAATGAGGGCAGTTGGCATCGAGTGTCGGCTCAGGGCTGTGTCTAACAGATTCTTAGGTCCCTCCCCCAGAGAGAGTCGGTTATTAGGATGATTGTGAATTGCCAGCTCCAGGGAAAGGGGTCCTGGTACGGGGAGGATCTGGTCCCTTTTTGCTCACTATTATGTATCGTTTGTTTGGTGCCATGCCCAACTCATGACAGGTACACAGTAGTACTAGATGAAATAGTAGGAAACAGAAAAGCAAAGGGAACAAAGGACAATGGAGGACTCTCAAGACCTCCTGGAGGAGGTTAAGAACGCTAAGCAGCCAGTGAGGTGGAAACTTGAACTTGTTACAGGGCACTTGGGAGTGGCTGGAGGAGTGGGGAGAGGGGATAGAAGGAGAGAGTACAAATAGGAAGAATGGAGCCTGGGGGTTGAATGTAGGAAGCAGCCAGAAGTCAAGAACAGTAAACACGGGGCTGGGAAGGTGGCTCAGTGGTGGAGCGCTTGCCTGCATGCATAAGGCCCTGGGTTTGATTCCCCAGCACCACATAAGCAAAAAGAAAAAAGGCCAGAAGTGGCACTGTGGCTCAAGTGGTAGAGCACTAGCCTTGAGCTGAAGAGCTGAGGGACAGTGACCAGGCCCAGAGTTCAGGCCCCACGACCACACAACCCCCCCCAAAAAAAATAGTTAACAGAAGAAAGGCCACAATCATGAAGTGCCCTGTGGACAGATGGGAGGGGTGAGAGTTGACCTGCGGCCAGGACCAACGTGGGCACCTGGGTAAATTAGCTTATGGAAACCTGGTGGCTCTCAGAGGGGTCGGGACTGCTAAATCAGGGATAGGGACTGTGACGGGTGAGAGTTGGAGGAGGTGTTGGGGGGTTAGGTAGGAAGATGGAGATGGGTTCTGGGGAATGGAAGCATAAGACTTCCATATATAGGATTCTATCATTCCAAAAGGAAAGATGGGAAATTGGCAGAAAGATCTCCTGGGAAAAGCAAATATATTGTTTGGAACTTTGTTTTATCCCTTTAGAAATGACCGTATTGTATTTTTATGTAAATAATTCACAACAGTGTGGTGCTTGCAAGGGGGTGAAAAGCAAATACTCACAAATGAAGTTGAGATACCATATTGTGTTTTTACATCAGCAGTGTATACGATCGCTTGCAGTGGCTCCCAAAAAACACATGCATATCCAAGAGGCAAGCTACCTGGGAACTCTGAGCCACAAACCTAGCCCAGGGCTTCTGTGCACCTTCCTCGTCACTGGAGCTCTGGGATCACCACAGCCCTCCGTCAGTCTGGGCAGCTCTGAGCTCCTGTGAATCTGTGCCTCCCCGAGCAACTTTCCCATTTCAGTCTCACTTACGGGCTTGTCATCCCTACCTCTGAACAACACAGGTGGCACATTTCATTGATGTATGCATCGGTCATGGGGCTGTGAATGGAGGAGACCACCCTGCAATAACCACCGTTAACATTTTCCACATCCATTGCCAGTGGAGGTGTTTGTGTGCAGGGCAGGAGGGCTGGATCCTCTTGGCTGAAGTCTGCCAATAAGAAGTCCAGTCATGGGTGCCTTCCACAGCACGTGGCTGATCCAGGCACGGAGGTTTGTTTTAAAGGTTCCATGCGGGAAACCTTCAGGCCTCACATCCCCGAGGAGGAGTGTGTGGAAGCAATACTGGGCCTACCTCTGCTCCTAGGTCACTTGTGTGTTTCACAGCTGCCTCTGATCTCTAGGACATTTCGGAGGGTCTTGTGGGGTTCGGCGGCTGCTCTGTCTCACAGTTGAACGTCTTTGTTTTTCTTTGGCAGCACTCCTTTTTCTGCCGGTTGACAGAAGACAAGAAGTCAGAGAAGTTCTTTAAGGTCTTTTACGATCGAATGAAGGTGGCCCAGCAGGAGATCAAGGCGACAGTGACAGTGAACACCAGTGACTTGGGAAACAAAAAGAAGGACGATGAGATAGACAGGGATGCCCCATCCCGGAAAAAAGGTAATGTCATGCTCTAAGGTTTTCTGTCAGCTGGACAGGGATCCGCAGCACAGCCCTTAGTCTCTCTTGATGCTCTCCATGACCTCGAGACTCCCAAGACGCTTTCGGATAGGAGTTTGTAAAAGAAAGCAACCAAAGTGGGCATCCTTGGAAGTGCTGCTTCTTAGAAGGAAGGGTCGTCTCGTTTAGTAAAATAGTCAAAAAAAAAAAATTCTTCTTGATCATGCTACGAGTTTTACTGACCTATTAAAATTCGTGTGTGTATGTGTGTGTGTGTGTGTGTGTGTATGTGTGTGTGTGTGGCACTGGGGTTAAATGCAGGAAGGACCACACACTTCCTAGACAGGTAGGTACTGGACCCACCCCCACCCCCCCCAGCTCTTTTTGCTTGAGTTTAGGTCTTGTGCTTTTGCCTAACCAACCTCAGTCTGTGATGTTCCTACTTCAGCCTCCCAAATAACTAGGATGATAGGTATGCACCACCGTGCCTTGCCAGAGATCCCTCAGTATTCATCGCCTGTGATTTCCATTTCACATGAAAGGAAGTTGAGGGAATACATGCTGTGTTGGTCAGGTAGTTTATCCTTACTTCCTAAAGTAGCAAGTTTTCACCCATGATCTGACTGGAAGCCAAGCAGTGCTATGGAGTGCGTAGACCCACAGGTTTTGGAGTGAGACAGCCCTGAGCAAATTACTCAACCACTGTGAGCCTCACTTTTCATATTTAGCACTGGATTTCTCAGCCACAGCACAACTGACATTGCGAGAGCCCTTTGCTGTCGGAACTTTCTTGTGTACAGTCACTCGTGTGAACTCTGACCAGTTAGATGCTTGTAGCACACCCCGCCCCAGCCACAAATGTCTCCAGACATTTCCAATTGGGTAGGGATAGGGACACAATCACCCGACTGTAACTACTAGTCTAGAATAGAGATTAAGAGAAGAAAAATGACTACCATTTACTAAGTGCTTAGGATGAGTCATGTTAGCTATCGTCACTATAACAAACACCTGAGGTGAGTCAGCATAGAAGAGAGGAAAGGTTTATTTGGATTTCCCTCTTAGAATTTTCAGCCATTATTGATTTGTGTTATCCTGAAGTCTAACCCAAGGCAAATCCATCGTGGCAGGAGCATGCTGGCAGGGTGAAACCAAAACTGGCAACAGGGAAGCAGGAAGAAAAAGAGAAAAGACACCTGCCCCCCCCCAATCGCCTTCAAGGACACACCACAGTCACCCGTGACCCCTCACTAAAGCCTACCTTGTGCGGGTTTTGCTACTTTCCGGTAGCGCCACAGACCTTCAACACACGGGCTTTTGGGGGACATTTCACATCTAAACTAGTCAGGTTGGGCCCTGTTCCTATCCTGTCTGAGACCTGAGGGGTGGGGGGACCCCTTGGGCTGTTCTGCCCACCTGGCCTGTCCCTGGCAGGTGCAGGAAGCTGGGGTTCAGACAGCCCCCCTTTGGCATATGTGTGGCGTTCCAAGGGTGCTGTGGGTTTGATTGTCTCATGTTTATCTTGTAGCCAAAGAGCCATCCCCCCAGATCACAGAGGAGGTCCGGGACCAGCTCCTGGAGGCGTCCGCAGCCACCAGGAAAGCCTTCTCCACCTTCAGGAGGGAGGCCGACCCCGACGACCACTACCAGCCAGGGGAGGGCGCCCAGGCCGCGGCCGACAAGGCCAAGGACGACCTGGAGATGAGCGCCGTCATCACCATCATGCAGCCCATCCTGCGCTTCCTGCAGCTCCTGTGTGAGAACCACAACCGAGACCTCCAGGTAAGGGCCGGGGGAGTGGGGGGGGGGACCCTGAGACCTGCGGCGGAGGGTTTGAGAGGTACCCCCAAGACCTGTAGGTAGGACCCCAAGACTTGAAGCTGAAGAGGGACTGGGTGGGAATCCTGAAACATTATCCTGCAGGTAATGGATTCAGAGGTAGGGGATAAATAATGACCTCCTTTCTCAGATAAGGAAACGGAGGCCTGGATAGGAGAGGACATGCAGCTACAGGGTGGTGGGAGCTGGAATTTGAACCCAAGCCACGTGGCCCAGGCATGATAGCTGCAGCCCCTGTGCCCCTCCTATGCCGTGGATTTCTCCCGGGGTTGTGGGAGGACCAGATAACGTGGGGTCTTGGCACTTGGTAAACGGTGATGAGGCTTGTGATTAGCACCGTGGTGCCTGACCCACTCCTCTGTCAGTAGACCAAAGCACCCTAAGCTCTGAGCTCTGGTCACAGCTGCCCAGCACATTTGCTGCTGTCCCTGGGTCTCAGGGTCACTGCTCCTGATGACATCCACCCTTCTCTCAAGCTGTACCACTGCTCATGAGGGCCCCCGGCCCTCCCCTAGGGGACTGAGCGACCCCCAGGGAGCACCTGCCACGTAGCAGCTTCACAGGCTGCACTTGAGGCTCAGGGCCCTCAGCGGCCCTCCTGGGGGATGTCACTGGTGAAGCAGGGGTGTGGCATACCCACGAAAACCTGCTTCGTACCCTTCCCTGGAGGTCATAAGATCTCGTCTACCTTCCATCTGAGTGTCCATGACAGGAGCCCCTTAGGCCAGCAGAGACCGCAGTGGTCAGTGCTGAGTGTCGAGACCAACTCGACACAGTGGGGGCAGAGGGGAGGCCCGGGGAGGCGGATGGCTGTTGAGTTCTGTGCTAATCAAACGCAGGCTGCTCCGTGTGTCGGAAGGGCAGGGCTAGTACCTAGGTGGACTTACGGTCTTGGCGTTCCATTCCTTCTGTCTCCCATCTTCTCTCCCTCCCCACCCTCCCCACTTTCCATCCACTGGGGAAGGCAGATCAGGTTGTAATTGTATGCATTCTGCAGTGCCATCCCTTCTTATTTGGAAATCTTCAGCACTGTAGTTTTGTGCCATTGCTCTTCACCAAACTAAAACAATTGCCTTGCAAGCCTGTGGGCAGAGGCACCTTTCAATACCCTCCCCTCACCTACAGGAGCCCCCGCAAGGTTGGGAGAGGGGGCGGGGGAGGACATTCCAGGGTGTATGGACAGAAGGAGGGTACAAAATCCAGCTCTCAGGGTGACTTGCCCCAGTGAAATTACACGTGGAGAAATGCAGTTCCTACAATAATTTTTGTAAAAAGTGGAATCCAACTCCACCGAATGCCACACTGCTGGCAGAGTTGGGGAACAGATGACGGGTCATGGGGTGGGGGTTTCCTCGTGAGTCGGGGGGAGGAGCGGGCGTCTGAGCCGAAGTCACCGGCTCCCTGGTGGACAGCATGCAGACGAGCTCGGGGGGAGGAAGCACTGGCCTTCTGAATGAACAGCCGTCTCTGGACTCCCGCCAGAGCTTCCTGTCCTATTTATAACCTTAACTTTCTTCCTGTTGGTAAATGTTCAGGAGACAGAAAGCCACTGAGCCTGTCTTTGCCAAAGGGGCTGTTACTACCTTAAGCCAGCCTTGCTTAGTCAGAAACTCAATGGGAGGATCCGCGCTTGAATCAGTTTCCACGTGGTTTCAGGTGTGCCTCTGGCTGAGACCCCAGCCCCACCCCCACGTGAACGAAAGCAGGGTCTGTGTCAGCACCAAGTCTTGTATTCATTTTACCCCCCCTTTGGATTACATGTCATCTAGCCTGCACTCTCCCAGGAAGACCCAAAAAGAGTAGGATTTCCCCAGCCTGGCTGACACTGAACAGCTTGTGGTGACAATGAATCGGAAGCGCTCCGGCCTGCCTCCGGGAGAGGGACAGTGCTGCGTCACAGAGGGCTGGAAGAAACGGGTCTGAGTGAGGGCGGGGGCGATTCCCAGCTAGACACTGCTGAGACCGTGAGAGACCGTGTGTGCCCCATTGGACTGGAGACTTCCCTGACTCCCTCTTCTCCGTCTCCTTGAACTCATAGCCGGTTGCCATCCACGTAGACATGAGCCCTGGGCAAGCTGCCAGGTACCCTCCGTTGTCATCACGTGTGCACAGAGCAGAGGCTTAGCCTGGAGGCCCCCATTTCATGGGTGTTGGGAGTTAGGAGGAAGGGCCTCCTGGAAAAAAAAAAACCGACTTTAGATCACAGCCTAAAAGAAGAGGAGTGTGAGGTTGGAGGAGAAAGGAGCAGGCTTAGGGAGTCATGTGTTGGAAGCCCCAGCTGCAGGAAAATAAAAAGTACTTGACAGAAAGGAACCCACTGCCACCAGCCACAGTGGGGCATGATGGGAGCAGTGACCGCAGCCTTGAGAACTAAGCTGTAGACAACCAGCCAATCAGGGCATGCCTGCTTTGAGCATCCTCTGCTCCTGCACCATGAGAGGACAGCCAAGTAGCAACTTCCCACCTCCTCCGAGCCAGGCTTCTCCCTCCTTAGCGCGAGAGAGAACCACTGTGAAGCACGCCTAAATCATCTCTTAGAGAACGCAAGGGACTTGGATGAAGTTAGAGAGGTGGGTTAGTTTGGTGGCAAAACAGCATTTGAACCTGACCACCAACTCAAAACCGGCTTTCACCAAATGCCTACATTGTGCAAGGGCTGTGTGAAGATACTTCTTTCATAAACGTTCAAGTGAAAATAAGTAATTAAGAGGAGTTCTTCTTTCCATAGAGAACATTCCAGCCTTTTTTGCTGAATATTTGAATGGGAACATTGCACATCACTGTCATTTGCATCATGTCTTAATCTCTTTGCCGCTTATTGTTGTTGGAGTTTTTCATTTTGTTTTTGTTTCTGTTTGTTCTGTTTTTGATTTTTACCTCATTGCGGGCAGAGGTATCTTTCCGCATTGGCACATTCTATATCTACTCAGTGTTCTTGTTTCTCATGTGAAATAGCATTGGCATCCTAGGATGTTTTTTATAGTCCCTCCACGGTGAACGGGCCCGTAGGCGGCTTGCCTTCCCCACTGTGGCAGGCAGTGCTGTGGTGAACATTCACTCCCCACTTGCATTTCAAAGACCATCTCCAGTTATTTATCTTTTGGTTATTTCTGTTTTGTGTTTCCCACTTTCTAGACTAAACTTTGTCACTTTTGTATCTATGAGATAAAGAATATTGCAGTTAATTTCTGCTTCTTTAAAAAATAAAAATAAAAAGAAATCGCATGCATACACATCACTGGAGCCTCTGACAACAACCTCTTCAGGGTAGTTGAAGGCAATTTTCCTTCATTGGGTGCGGAACTGCCTTGCCCTGTGTCTCTTGTTAACATTACAGGTCAGCCTGGGGAGCACATATCCTGATACTGCACGCATGTATACACGTTTACCCCCTTCCTTCCTGTGCATGGAGGAAATGGCCAGCCAAGAGAAGCCACTCTCCCTCTATAGCACTGGGCTTGTCTCGGCCTCTGACAGCTCATATTGTGGTGGACTGTCCCTGATACTGGACTCAAGGTGTTCATTACTCAGCCCCCACCATCATTTTAAACAAAGCCACCATCCAACCCTCTAGAAATCGCAGATGCTCTAAAACACGTGATGAGAGGCTGGTGAACAGGGAGGAGCAAAAGGGATAAAGAATAAATGAGAGCAAACCGCTCCGTTAGTAGCCACGTCCACAGACCAAAGCCATAGCTTAGGTATCAGACTTTCCCCCCTGATGTATCTGTCTGCATAGTTGTTGATCAATCCAAAACACTTACATGTTCAAAAACCAAGATGGCAGCCTGGATGACTTCTTCCCCTCTCTCTCTGCCTCTTGCTCCCTCAAACCCCGGTGCTGACCACTGGCAGAACTTTCTCCGTTGCCAAAATAACAAGACCAACTATAATTTGGTGTGTGAGACACTGCAGTTTCTGGACTGCATTTGCGGAAGCACCACCGGAGGCCTTGGTCTTCTTGGACTGTACATAAATGAAAAGAATGTTGCACTCATCAACCAGACCCTGGAAAGTCTGACAGAGTACTGCCAAGGACCTTGCCATGAGAACCAGGTAATTCCTTCTGTTTGGGTTGGGGTGGAGGGAGGTGTCAGTCATTTGGAAATGCAAACAGAGATAGGCTCAGAAGTCACGTGTGTCTGCCTGTTGGCCTGGCTGTTTCCCAGCAGTGGAAAGGGTTCCCTTGCCTTGTACGGTACCTCAGGACTTTACCCTGTTGGGCAATAGAAAGTTGTGCTTTTTAGTCCCTTTCCTTGACATGGTTTGGCTTGATTTGGTTTGACAATCCAATAATAACTTGACTTTGGGGGTTAGTGCAGGAGGATGGAAATCCCAAAGTGGTTACTTGAACAGGAGTAAACCTAGCTAGAAAGAGAGAAACAAAATTCGCTTCATATTGAACAGCTTGAAAGTTGAGAATAATTTTGGTTGAGATTTTAGTACTGTGCACTATCAGGGAAAGGAAAGAACAATGTATCTTGACTTTGGCTTCCCCAAACAAGTATCGTTTGGGAATAGAGCTCAGTCCTTTTCTTTTTCTTGAGTTAGCGTCATTGCTTATAGATGGCATCTTGAAGTCTGTGAGTTTTGATCTCCAGGCCAGGCTGAGTAGGATTTTGTGACCACTCTGTAGCTTCTTCCTGGAGAGAGAGGGCACAGCAGGGCTGAAGCTGGTCACTTCTGAACCCCAGGCCATGGAAGGTGTGAAATGTGGAGGGATTTGGGAGAATCAGGATCTTTACCCAGAGGAGAGCCATTCACAGGAGACAGCTCACTGTCTACGAAAATCCCCTGAACATGGGGATCCCATTTGGCTAGATCCTCTTCCCTTCACTGTTTTCCTGGTGGAGCACATGGCCAATTCCTAGTTACAGTGAAGTAAGAGTACGGAAATGCAGTGGGCTTGGGGAAAGGACTCTCTGTGATATCAGAGTGAACCTTGTTAGAACTTTGTTGGCTTTTCTGCAAAGCAGAAGCCTGTTGAATGCAACAGACTGGACTGGATTAGAGCGTGCCGCAAATGTGGGGGGGGGGCGGGTCCCCTACCTGGGAGAAGAAGATGATTCATTTTGCTATTGTATGAATAAACCAGAAGCTTGCTTTCCAAGCTTCAGCTTTTAAGCACAAGCACGAAATAGGCAGAGTGACGTAGTAAGAGTGGAACCCACTCTTAAAGGGGAAAAAGAACCTAGATCCCACTATCAGTCATACACCACATTTTTCTTAAAGCACAAAAACTGTCCCCACCGTCGTGTTTGGATGAGATGCGGCTAGTTTATCAGTTGGCGAGAATAGGGACTTTCCTACTGTTTACTGTTAATTCTGAAACTAGAGATTTTCATCTGTCTGTCTTTTTTCTTTTTCTTTTTTTACCACTTTCTCACGGAAAAATTGCTCCCTGAGAAACAGCCCTGGGAGTGGTGAGCGTTGTGTTGAAAGAGCAGCTCGGCCTGCTGGCCGTGAGACTGAGGGCCAGCGTTTGTGTAAAGGTCTGTGCGCTGTCTTGTTTCCGCAGAACTGCATAGCCACCCACGAGTCCAACGGCATTGACATCATCACGGCCCTGATCCTCAATGACATCAACCCTCTGGGAAAGAAGCGGATGGACCTGGTGTTAGAACTGAAGGCAAGTAGGCACTGAGCAGCAAAGAGGTGTTCGCCATTGGGAACAGTCGCTCTTCCGTTGTGTCTCGGCATGAGACGTGGTCAGTGTTAGACAAGTACCATAGGCAGTTAGGACTGAAAGAGTGATCCGAGTTGCACGTGCTGACTGAATGGCAGAACTTCACTGGTTCATTTCCAAAGAAGTTAGGACTGTGAGGTCACCGAGTGCCACTCGAAGATGAGAAAGAATATAATATATCCAGGACCCAAAGCCTCCATTCTGGATGGCATGGACAATAGAAATGCCATTTGCTCTGGTTTCTGAATTTTCTCCCCTTGGAGAAGGAAAAAGGACCAGGTGACAACTGGTCAGCTAACAGTATATCTAAGTCTACCTAGAACCTCAGAAAAAGAAACCCCCAAATCTCTTTTTACTTAAAACATAGATCTAGCAGAAAAGTGATTGATTATGTCAGTGTAAAACAAAGGCAGGAAGTGGAGCTGTGACTCAGAAGTGATAGATAGAGCATTAGCCTTGAGTAGAAAAGCTCAAGAACAGTGCTCAGACCCTGAGTTCAAGGCCCAGGACTAGCACACAAACAAACCCAAGAAGCTCCCTCTGCACAGGCGAACTTGTCAGTTTTCCTGGCAAGTTTCTTTGAATTACTGCTAGCGGAGGACTTCAGGTGGCTGATACTGGAGCAGCCCTATAAACACTAAAATAGTTTTATGGAGTGAAAGCAGTGACTTCAAGGTGCTTAAGCTACAGGCTTTACAGGCTAACCTCATAGCTGCCTTGAGAGACTGGTAGAGTGTTCCTGGTAGTGATTTCTTAAGGGTGTCCCCAAGCCTTCCTTCTGTTTAGGGGTTCCAGGATCCAGTTCTGAAAACTGAACCTGTAAACCACCCAAGTGTCTGCAACGTGTCTGGAAATGTGTTGATGCCACCAGACACACTTCCTCTTATCTGTTCCCATGTGGGAGCGTGTGGAGACCTGTCCTCTGTCTATACCCATCCGCAGTAGCAAGCATTTATCACTACAGTGAAACACCTAGAACTTCCGAGGTCAGCTGACGAGCTGGTCTGCATTTCCTGCATGAAGGGCAGGCGTCATAGGAATGAAAGGCTTTTGGAAAGTGTTATCACAGAAGGAAATGAATGGCACGCTTATTTTTATTTTTCCTCTATCATTTAGAACTGAGAGTCCAAATTAATAGTTGATTTGGGTATGTCGTTTAAATGCATTTTTGGCTATGTTTAGCTTCTGACACATGCTTTAGATGCAAATATCGTTCAAATCTCATGCACCTGACTTCCGTTTACCCTAATGTACACAATGGGAGATTGAAAGAGACTGAAATGTTCACATACTTCTGGTTGGCATTTTTTTTTGTATGACTCCAGCAATCTAGGATCCTGATTAAAAAGAAAAAAAAAAATCTGCCCTGTGATAGCATAGCTGCCCAAAGGCAAAAGAACTTCCAAATCTTATACACAAGGAAACATGCAAAGTTTAGGCCCTGGCATCATCAGGCAGCTCAGGGTCTGCTGGGCTGGGGCGCGTGGCAGGCAGGCGGGTTCCTCTGGGTCACTTTGGTTGCTAGCATCAGCTATACTCAACAGGAGAAGTTACAAGCACAGATAGAAGAGGTTCTTTAAGACAGGGAGGAATTATCTTTATTGCCTGTCCTCTCTGACCCACAAGACTGAATAACACGTCAGCAACTACCCAGGCAGAGGACATGCCCCCTCCAACCCTGAAAATGTCATGGGTTCATGTCGAGCAGGTTCTTCGTGACCACTGTCACTGGGCGGGTGACGGCATGCAGTAAGGCCGCTGTATTCATAGGTTCGGCCAACCCCAGGATCAAAGATACCCAGAAAAGCTTGCTTCTTTACCTGAGCGAGCACCTTGCTTATCATCGCTGCATCAGCAGTGCAGTGTAACGAGGGCCTTGCGCTGTGTTGTTCTAGCTAGTATAAGTGATCTTGGGATGAAGTAGATGAAGGAGGGGAATGTAGGTTTTAGGTGATGTTGCATAAGGGAGTTGAGCCCTGGTACCATCTCTCCTCCCCACCCCCCACCCCTTGCCGCCCAGGTACTGAGGGGAGACTGTCCCCCCACAAGCACCCACATTTCAGTTTCCATTCCTGCCAGGACTTGTACCAGCTAACATTGGGGCATCACACATGGACCGTAACCATGTTGTGCCTCCTTGCCGCAAGCTAGATTCTGACCCCCGTTTCCAGGGTCGGAAGAGCTGCCTCCTCTGCCTGGCGCAGAGGCTGTGATGCCCCTGGCCCGGGGGCCAAAGGCCCGGCTGTGGAGCTGGGGCGCACATGCCTGCAGCCAGGCCGGCGCCCGGCAGCACGTCCACGTTTCTCCCCTTGCCTCTTCCATCCAGAACAATGCTTCCAAGCTGCTCCTGGCCATCATGGAGAGCAGACACGACAGCGAGAACGCCGAGAGGATCCTCTACAACATGAGACCCAAGGAGCTGGTGAGTCGGGTGACTGGCTCATGACTCAGGTCGCCAAGGAACGTTAGAGGAAGCAGATCAGCCTCCTTGAGCGCTCTCTGAGATCTCCCAACTTAGAAGTATAAAGAGAGCATTTAACTCAGGCCTCGGGCTGAGGAGGAAAAAAACCACATTGGACATGTGGTATTTAGCCCTCTCCTGTCAGTACTGACTGTTTGGGGGGGAGGGAGGGGAAATGCTCCTCTTCTTTTTTTCCTCATGGAGAAGAGCGTGGTCAAGGATCCCAGCAGGCCTGAATTCAGCTCCACAGCTCTTCTACCCTCTATGCTGTGTCACCATGGGCAACTTTTGGATGTCTCTGAGCCACTTTCCTGATCCCTGAAAGAGGTTATACACTGAAAGGTGGTTTTCAAGTCTAGATGAGACGCTTCACGCCAAACCTAGCATGAGACAAGTCCTTTGTGCACTGTGAGCCCTTTCCTTCCGTGGCTCTCTTCATGGCTGCTACTTTGGCCTCAGCTTTGTCCAGAACTGAAGCGTTCACAGCCGTTCTTGGCACCCGTGTAGTTTGGAGGCTGGCAGTGGTTTTTGTCTTTGTGGTTTATTTTTGAGGGGTGCTATTCACGAAGGGCTGTGACTTCCAGCTTGGGAGTTTGCTGTTCATCAACAGCAGTATGGGGCA